GGGCTGTTCAGCACCCGGCCTGACCTCCGCTCAGATGGAGGCGTCGCTCGGAGGAAGAGGGCACGGTGAGGTGTCCCTGGGACGGTAGCCAAAGAGAAGTCATGCATTTCTAGCCCAGCCCCCCACCCCCCGGGGCAGTCTCCTCTGCCGCTTTGTTGTGTTTTCGATCCAGGAGAGTGTGGGCTGCTGCTGGCAGCTACAGGATGAAGTCGCCTCCCTGCTGCATGTCTCTTTCTTCCCAAGCATCCCTGGAGGAACCGGGGAGTAGCACATCCCTGGGTTCCCTGGACTCCAGTGTTTTCAACAGTGAGGAAGAGCAGGGGCCCCTGCTCCAGAAGGTCATTCCCTCTTTGGACTGCTTTACTATCAATGTAGGAGGCAGCCGCTTTGTGATGTCCCAGCAAACTTTGTCTTGCTACCCTGACACCCGTCTTGGCAAACTGGCTGTAGTGGTCTCTGCTGCCCGGGATGTGGCCTCTGGCCTCCTTGAGCTCTGTGATGATGCCAACCTCGTGGAAAATGAATATTTCTTTGACCGAAGCTCACAGGCATTTCATTACATCCTGAATTACTATCAGACAGGGAGGCTGCACGTGATGGAGCAGCTTTGTGCACTTTCCTTCCTGCAAGAGATCCAGTACTGGGGTCTGGATGAGCTCAGCATCGATTCCTGCTAAAAGGGAAGATGTGGCGCACTGGATTGTGGGCTGGGTGAGCTCAGCATTGGCTTGCATGCAGGGATGCTCAGGTGAGAAGTCCAGCAGTGGGGGTAGGTGAGGTAAAGTGCACTCAAAACTGGACAAGTTCAACCCTGAATCCTGCTCTAGAGGTGGATGGGTGTAAAAATGGGAGCATGTGTGTTGGGTGATGTCCCTGTTGACCATTGCTGAGGGACAGGTTGGCAGTGGGGTCAAGATAGTGGGACCCTAACGGGAGCTGGGTCTGGGTTGCCCTTTACTGGCCGTGGAGGCTCAAAATGTTTGAAAGGGACAATGCCAGAAATGAAAAAGGTTGTGAAAGGGGAGATGTCCATTCAGTCATCCTATTTGAGGTTATCGCAGTTATAGGTGTTGGATGTGGAGTCAGGCTCAGTGCTGCGTGGGTTTAGAGCCTCCTCACCCCACAGTTCCCATTCTGGAGGATTTCCGGATCCAGAGCTGGAGAGGCAGGAGGGGGGTGGTCACCTGGCAGGCTGAGTGTGGGTGGCACGGCTCTGGGAGGATCCGTGATGGGAAGCATCACACATGGATGTAGCAGCTTACAGGGAAGAGGCAGCAGCAGCGGGAACATGGCTCACTGGAGACAAATTGTAACAGGCAGACTAGGAGTGAGGTGGGTTTCCACTGCACCACCCCCAGGACGTTTCTGTTCTTTCTGTTTGTGGTTAATTTATTTTTTTCCCACCATTTTTAGTGTTACTGGTTTCTAGTATTGAAGAAATTAATTATCTAAAGTGTGTAACTGCTATTCATCTAAAGGGGTTATGTCAAAATTATTAGAAAGAAACCAAAAAGCAACCCCACCCCAAAAGGATACTACAGTTACCTTACCATAGCATGGTCCAGTTCTGCAGCTGAGAGACTTGGGTCCTAGTTTTCATCCCTTTCTTCCATCCCTGGTAGATGTAACTGAAAGCTCCCACTTCTTTGGTGGTGTAAGGAGCTACAGACCTCTTTGGCATATGTAGGAGTAACTGGATATCGAACAAAGGCAAAATTGCATAGCCCCTTTGTCTAAAGCTTGAGACTTGCAGCAGTCAAGAAATACAGATATGAAAGAAAAGGATATTTTTAGTGTGCTTTGGGAATGGTTTTTGTTTCATGAAATTCTTCTGTAAATATACTATTGATCTAACAAAACACTCAACTGTGCATTTACAATCTGTAAGTTTTATTCGGCACAGATGCTTTTGCACTTCATTGTGTGAGGACCCATATATTTAAAGAAAGAAAGAAAGAAAATTAGCCATCTTTGTGTGTATTGATCAGAACTTCATCCATGAACTGCATGGGTTTTATTATGCTTTTCCTTTTAGAATTGCAAGTGCACACTGATGTAATAAAAATGTGATATAGTTAATAAAGTTGAGAAGAATTCGGAAACGGAGTGTCTGGTTGTGCCAGGATTGCTTGCAAGAACGCATGTTAGTTGTCCAGCAGGTCCTACTATAGTCAACATGATCCATATAAATAACACTTTATCAAAATAAAATTACTCTGCACATGCAAACTGTAACTGATGTGAAATGGGGGAATAGAATATCAGAACAGTGGAAACATCCTGCAGGGTCTCAGTATCTTCAACCATGTGCTTGACATCAGGTTTTCTGAGCTCACGTAAGGTATACTTTAACATGTATTTTTTTGCCTCGCATGGTATAGGATAAGGAAAACATCTGCATATTGGTATTAAAAATCTCTTTGGGGGGGGGGGGTCCAGGTACTTCAGGAGGAAGGAGCTGAGTGAAGCTTTAGACATCAAGAAAGATGCAGAAGAACTGGATGCCCAAGACGAAGAAGAAGACTTTTCTGGTAGTCTCTGTCCCAGTGTCAGACAGAAACTTTGGGAAGTTTTGGAAAAGCCTGGCTCCTCTGCAGCAGCCAGGACTTTTGGCACTCTGTCCATGGCTTTTGTTGTTGTGTCCATTGCCAACATGGCTTTGATTTCAGTAGAGCTAAGCTGGCTGGCACCACCACTGCTGGATGCCCTAGAGTACCTGTGCATTGCATGGTTCACAGTGGAGTTTGTTCTGAGGTTCCTGTGTGCACGGGATCGGTGTCGCTTCCTAAGGAGTGTGGCAAACATCATAGACCTCCTTGCTATTTTACCTTTCTACATCACCCTGCTGGTGGAGAGCCTGTGTGGCGGGGAGAGCTCCCAAGAACTGGAGAACGTGGGGCGCATTGTGCAAGTGCTGAGGCTGCTCAGAGCCCTGCGGATGTTGAAGCTGGGAAGACATTCAACAGGTACTTTCAGTTATGGCAGTGATAGTATTCGGTTTTGCTGCCTGCAACAGTTGTCCCTGGGCATGGTTCTCCATCCTGTGTGCTTTTCTGCCTAACCTTTTTTATGCAATCTGTTAGCAGTAATGGCTTGTGAAAGACTTACTTTCGAACATCGATAGTTGAGTGGCAGGGGCCTTCTCCAGTAAATTTTAGCTCTTCATAGAGCCAGTGTATATTGTTTGCATAGAACATTTACAAAAAGAGGCCCCAAAGTTGCATGCTGTTAATCATCCACCGGTGATTCACACGGTCATAAATTTACAAGCGTATATTCGAGTTGATTTTATTAGGGTTGAAGCAAGGAAAGAAGCAGATCATTGACCCACACTTTCTGTATTGTCAACGGCCCACTAATGACAGTTTATAATTACCTGTCACAATTTGTTTTGTTGAAAAGTATGTGCAGAGAAATATATCATGATTTTGTCTACGTCATAGATCCTGAAAACAACCATGGTAAAGAATACTTCAAGAAAACTGTTTAAACTGAATCTTATCAGACGGTGGGTTGAGGGGCTCTCTGGTCCCACTGAACACACTGTGTCATGTGGAGCACAGCTGGGGGCTGCTTGCTGAGTTGGACCTGGGTGCAGCACAGAGCAGCAGTGTCAGGTTCAGTCAGTGTTCACCCATTCGTGTGGGGCCCGTCGTGTCCAAGCACTCCTGACAGGTCAGCAGACGGATGGATGAACAGGAAGGAGGGGTAAGGTGGAAGGTGAAATGCATTTCTGGTAGCATTTTTGTTCACTCTTCACGTGGTGAAGGGAAGGCATAAAAGGTTATGTTTTCTAGTGGGAATTTATCAGAGGAAGCTGGAAATGATTGGAAGGTGTTGAATTTCCCCTTGTGTTTCCCCCATCTTTATTACTACTTCATGGCATGTGTATGCCTGGTATATGAAAGAATAAAAGCTGTATTCCCACCACACCCTCTCCATGCCATGATGTTGTCCAGTGCTTGGCATTTTCAAAATTGATTATGTTCCCACTTAAATCAATGCTGAATATGGTACTGAATTTGACAGGAGAAATGTTCAGCCAATATTTGGAGCTTTGACAAATCAGAAGCTAATAGTAAACCATTGTCTCTGTCCTTCCAGCAAAGGAAGGACAAAATACCCTTCCAGGATTTCGTGCCATGAAGCAACCGTTTTTTGGAGATGCATCTCCACCTTCTTTGTGAACTGACCCAGTTTGGCAGACATTACAGTGTGCTCACAGCAGCAGAATGTGTCTCTAGTTTTGTTCCCACTGAAGGGCAGGGAGTAGCGTTAATGCTGCTGGGCATAATCATAATGGGAAGTATTTTAATCTTACTTGCCTACCCTAGATTATGCCTATACTGATGCATAATTGTCTCTTAGAAAGCAGTTGAAAGGAAGCTTATAATGATTCAGTCTGTCAATGAGTTTGTTTTGCTTTATTATAATATTTGCAGACTCGTTTGGTTTTGAGATGTTTGTTTTGGTTTTCTTTTCAAGAAAGGCTGCTACACACTTTTGTTTGTAGCTGCAATGTGAATGCATTCCTCTCTAATCATGTTTTGAAAATAAGAAAAAGATTTTAACTCATCAAGGCACTTTTGTGCTGAATTATAAAATAGTGATCCAAAAGTATGTTATAAGGTTTCCAGTTTATTGGATTTTACTGTTGCAGAATGAATGCATGAAACTCGGTACTATGGCTTTTTCTATCAATTTGAAACTAGATCTTTAAGATATTTGTATAACAACTGTTAACTTCAGGTACATTAACTTTCAGGGATAGTCTAAACTTTTGTGTCTATTTATTCTTAAAGTCATTAAAATATTACCGCAGTTTATATCACAATATTGAGTGCTGTTAATATTGAATTTAGTAATTCCAGATTAGGTACAAGTTAATTAATTACATGAAAATCTAGTCTTCTAATCTGGAAGCGATCTACCATCTTTCTACTGGAACCAAAGTACCAGTTTCAACATACAAGAAGCGACCTACATATGTGTTTAAACCATCCAGAGCAGCATTACTGACACTGTGCTTGCTTCTTTGGTAGTTCAATGGCTCCCACTTACATCCAGAACACTAAATCAGATCTGTGTAATTGAAATGTAGAAAGTCACTGTTTCAGTGTCCTGTCAGAGGAGATGCTGCTGCTTAGATGAAACACAGCCCTAATAAATCAGAATAGCAAAATAGACTCGCAGACCTGAATCCCTGTCTCTGACCACTAGAGGTATGTCGCAAAAGAGAGTTTTGTTAACACGGTTCTAAACACATCCTTAACCACACCTGCTAATATACAATGAACCTCATAAGTACGATACACAGAGACCATCCTCCTTGCATGTACCTAGGCAGTCCTCATAAACCTCAGTGTTCAGGGTGTCTTGCATCAATTCCACTCTCTTGCCTTGGATCTGGCAGTTTAAAGCTACCTCCCAGGGATGCTTCTCTGTGACTTCTGCACTCTCACACCAGACAAAGCTTCATGCACTGCTCCTGGCAAGAGAAGTGCAAGATCAGAAGCAAAGAGATGAGAAAGTTCATGCCTACAGACAGCAACTCCTCTTTCATCAAGTACGCGTGTTCACAACCACAAGGAGAACATATCTGTAGACCCATACAAAGCTGGGATCACAGCAGCAATCTGGCTGTCAGGGCAGAAAAGAGTTAGGAAAAACCATACCAATTCTTTCCTTCACTTCAAAGAAATGGCAACTTAACCCTTTTTGTGAGGAAGGACAGAAAAAGAAATAAAAGAATCCTTTCTGCCCTTTTGAAAGCTGAACCCAGCTAATAGGAGGGATGTGATGCCTAGAAACATCTGGGCTAGTTTAGTGTTTGTAATTATTTGTGCAAAGTGCTACATTTCCTTAGAGAACAACTGAGAAATCAGTGCTACCTTTATGCACAAAATGCATGGCTAGAGGGTGAAACCATTCTTCTGAGCTATCAAAATCATGGATTTGAGTGGCTCCAAGAATACGTGAGAACTGAACCTGCATTTTTCACATTCTCTGATGCTCCTCAGCTGTTGCCTTCCTCCTGGGGCCATGTTTTGCATGAAGCCTTGCCTCCTCTGGGAACCACTTTACGGACTGATTCCTTGAGAAGCAGGGTTTGAGCATCTTGTGGTGGTAGTGGGCACATGTTTGAGAGAAGGCTGTAGCGTATGTTAGGATGAGATGCCTCTGGAGACACGAAAAATCGAAACCAGCATTTTTAGTGCCAGAAATTTACGATTATTTAAATGCTGTTTGTAAACAGAAGTAGTAAGATTTGCTTTGGTGTCTGTGCTGGAACAGCCCTAGTTTGGCTGTGTGCTAGGGCTCAGATACACTTTAAAAACTTACAGGATAACATAGCAGAACATATTATTTGTTTGAATACATAACTAATTCCCACTTAGAATGAGCTGTGGAGTCCAGTAACTTGTCTGATTCATAGACTTGTCTAAAAATGTCTTCTGACTTCATCTGAAGACATGAAGAGATTTATCTTTGTTTTAGATGAGGATAATAGTACTAAGAGTAATTAAAACAAATCATACTCCTGAACAGTCAGGATAATTAATATAGGAAACTTCTTTTACTGAAGACGTCATCAATGTGATACAGGGAGTTAGCAGTCAGTGCCAGGTTCCTCCTTACTTTGGCCTGGTTTTTGCTAGTTCTTTAGCTATACTATTCTCAGGATTCATCATAAAGGGCAAACCCTGCCTTTTATGGAGTCATTTATGCTTTGAAAAGAAGTGCTACACAGGTAATTTAGAGTACCTTCTTTCTAAATCATCTGAAAAGACTTACTCTTCTACCCTGTTCAGAAGAAAGTTTTTCAGGGAAATGTATGATAGTAACTTCCTTGGAAGATGAGAGTTTGATCTGGATCCTTGAAATTGTCTCCCACAGCTTTTGCACTACTGATATTAGTTCATTTTCAAAATGTGGAGGCAGTCATATTAACAGAGAAAAAAATACACTGATATATCTTATTCCCATTGCAGATTTAAACTATATCATTATAATAAACATTCTAACCAACAGATCATAGTTACAGTAATATAAAACCTGGATATAGGCAAGTCTTTAACTGGAGTTGATAGAACAATAAAAAAGGAAAAAATTCTTATAAATTCTGGGGTGTACTTCCATTGTTTACTGTACATACAAAAAAAAAAAAAGCCTTTAAAACCCATTAGACCTGAAGGAAAGAAGAGAGCCAAAAGCAAGAAGAAATTCTTAACATCTTGTAGACTGAGACTTAGGAAAGAAAAGCAAATCAAATTGCTTATTGCTCTCATGAGCATATGAAGTCTGCAAGCAGAAGCAGAGCTCCAATAAGTATTTTGCAAATACTAGTTTAGTTAGAAGTCTGCCCCATGAAGGATAATTCACAAACATTGTGTTTTTTCTCATTTATTAAAGAAAACATAGCACATTTTTAAACAGTATTAAAAACCAAGACAAAGTCACTTGTGATTCAAAAGGTAATTTCAGTCTCCCATGTGTCTCAGCTGAGTTGGTACCCTGTTATCTTTCTTTGTTTATGTGTGCAACATTTATCCACTGCACTATTATTGGATTTACTTTCCTGCTTGCTTTGTCAGACAGTCTCGTCTTGAAGCAGCAGCTCTAAAAGGAGAGGGGGGGGGAGGGGCTATGTAGAGTAGTCAGCTGCCCAAGAGCTCCCTTTGTAGCCCACGGACAATAGGACTGATGCAGTACATTGGTGAATTAACAGAATGTCATGTTTGCATTGGGAGGCTTTGCTGTCTCTGGTTTTGGCACAAGTGCAGCTGCTGCTGGAATACTGCTTTGATGTCTACAGATAAAGATAGTTTTTTTGGGGGAAGAGGAGTCAAGAGATGTTGTGAGAACTATACGAGGACTAGGAATAGTCCTTAGCAAAGAAAAATTTACTAAGTGACCGAACTAGGCTCTAAGCACTGACCTAAAAATCTGAATTTGCTAACTGAAGGTTGCTTGGTCCAAGAGAAAAATATGGTAATAGCTGGAAAACAGGAGCTTGGCACATTCAAGGGATCAGGTGTTTTTACTGTGGTTTTAAATGGTTATTTAGATTACTTACTAAAAACTGTGATATATTCTTCTGTTATAGCCAATTACTAAATATTGGTTAGTTTTCCTAAATTATATGTGTATGTAGTACAAACAGTAAGCAATGAGAAGAATTTCCATGATCTATATTAAGGAAACAGAGATGATGTCAGTGGTTCAATCTAACATTTCCCAGTAGCATTGAGAGCAGCACACCTTCTTCTTAAATCATGTTCACTAGCAGTCAAAGAAAAACATAAGGTATCTTTTAAATAAGAGACGTTTTGCGAAGTTATGATGACAGCTACATGAATCAACCTACTGACAGCATTTCTTGTCTTTCAGGCTTGCGGTCTCTTGGGATGACTATCGCACAGTGCTACGAGGAGGTTGGCCTTCTGCTGCTTTTCCTTTCTGTAGGAATCTCTATATTTTCTACTGTGGAATACTTTGTTGAGCAAGGAGTGCCAGGCACAACTTTCACAAGCGTACCTGGTGCTTGGTGGTGGGCAACAACTTCCATGACAACTGTTGGTTATGGTGACATTAGACCAGACACTACCATTGGTAAGGTAGTGGCCTTTATGTGTATACTATCAGGAATACTGGTTTTGGCTTTGCCAATAGCTATTATAAATGACCGGTTTTCTGCCTGTTACTTTACACTGAAGATAAAAGAAGCTGCTCTTAGGCAGCGTGAAGCTTTAAAGAAACTCATGAAGAACTCATCCAGTGATTCAAACATCAATGTTAATTTGCGAGACATTTATGCACGCAGTGTCATGGACATGTTGCGGTTAAAAAGCAGAGAGAGAGCAAGTACAAGGAGCAGTGGAGCAGATGATTTTTGGTTTTGACTTTTAAGTTATTTAGCCTTATATAACAAATAGACTACTTCAAAAATGTAGTATTAAGCATTTCTTTTTTTATTATTCACCACATAGTGTATTTGCCTTTCCAGATGGAGTTCTACTTGCTTGGACAGACTGAGATAACTATTGTATACAAAAGGCAGAATTCATAATATGGAGCTCTCAAGGAGCCTCTCAAGGAGCCCTGAAACCTACTTCCAGAACTGAATCATGGTGGGTGAGATGGGAAATAATGGGTGCATCATGTAAAACAGTGACACAAACACTTGTCTATTAATCTGATGTCCTTGGTAATGTATAGTAATAAAGTCTCAGTGAAAATTGCCATGGTGTTTTGAATTTTAAAGATCTGTAAGATTTGTATTTGCACTGGGAAAGCAAAATTCAAAGACATTAAGAAAAACTGAAAATGGAAGTCTAGGGAAGTGAAATGTTGAATAAATTTAGGATGACATTCCTATAAGGAGCTTCATCGTGACCCCCTTTCTTACCTCCACCTTATACTCTGTTTACATGAAAAAGAGGTTATTAGACCGTGGGGGTGGGAGAGAGAATTTCCTCATTTGAAGAGAAGGGCTACCAGATACATGGTAGGTAAAAACATCTGGGCTACTTCAACCCCATGCAATGGTACAGGCTTGGGGAAGAGTGGCTGAAAGCTGCTGGGCAGAAAAGGACCTGGGGGTGCTGACTGATGGCTGCTGAACATGATCCAGCTTGTGGCCAGGTGGCCAAGAAGGCCAACAGCATCCTGGCCTGTATCAGAAATAGTGTGTCCAGCAGGACCAGGGCAGTGATTGTCTCCCTGTACTCAGCACTGGTGAGGCTGCACCTCAAATACTGTGTTCAGTTCTGGGCTCCTCACTGCAAGAGAGACACTGAGGTGCTGGAACGGGTCCAGAAAAGGGCAATGCAGGTGGTGAAGGGTCTGGAGAACAAGTTTTATGAGGACTGGCTGAGGGAACCGGGATTGTTCAGCCTGGACAAAAGGAGGCTCAGGGGAGACCTTGTTGCTCTCTACAACTACCTGAAAGGAGGGTGTAGTGAGGTGGGGGTCAATCTCTTCTCCCAAGTAACAAGAGATACGACAAGAGGTAACAGCCTCAAATTGTGCCAGGGGAAGTGTAGTCTATTAATAAAAATTCCATCACCAAGAGGGTGGTCAGGCATTGGAACAGGCTTCACCGCAAAGTGGTGGAATCACTGTCCCTGGAAGCATTCAAAAAACATGTACGAGGCCCTTACTGGCATGGTTTAGTGGTGGTCTTGGCAGCCCTGGGCTGATGGTTGGACTCAATGATCTTAAAGGTCTTTTCCAACCTAGTTGATTCTGTGATTCTATGATTAAGCCAATGCCAGATTTGCAGCAAAGTATAAAATAGTCACTAAATAGGTTTCATAATGTAGAGCATCCTCTCTGGTTGCTCTGAAAGTTGCAGAAGTTAATACATTGTTTGCAGCATAATTTACAAGTAATTTAAAAACTTAATTTGAACTATGCCTTGGCTATGTGTTTTGATTCTCATAACTTGTTTGTGTATCTAGCACTCAAGTAGTCACTGGTGGATATCAGAAGAAACAGAAACAGTAAAAGATAGCAAGCTACTCATTTCTCTATCTCCCGTTAAAATCAGTAGGTATTTAATATAATTACATTGTTCTAGACTATGATATTGCCACATATGCATACAACACAACTAGTAGGTTAAATAATAAAAGTCACAAGCCTCTCTCATGTTTTGGGCAATATAAGTCCAAACATTATTTACATTTGACATTTTGACATTAATTCAACATACTAAAAAGAAACATCTATTAACTGTAGATTGTTTAATTTTATAAGACATTTATGTAAATAGAAGGCTTAAACTGCCTGTGAGGAAATACGAATGGGTGAATTAACCTGCTTTTAATAAACATTGAGTAATACTTGTTTTGAAACAACAGTGTGATTTCCTCCCATTCCCTATAAATGGGGTGTGAACATAATAAAACAAGCAAAGTTTTCAAAGGCTCCAACCTTGATGCAAACTGAGTAGCTTTTCAGCATGAAACATCTCCTGATTTGTCAGCTGGCATCAGTCAGCATTTGGATTTGGGACCAACACAGCATATGCAACTGTCACCAGGGTGAGAAGGAAGCCAAGGGAAAACACTGGAGACCAAAAGAGTACGTCTTGCTCTACCAGAAATTGTCTAGGTGTGAAAAATCGTGGGTCAGCTTCCTAATCTGTTACACAGAGAGCAAACTGTTACCACAGTGTTCCCCTCTGCCTGCATACGCCATGAATCCATCACAAAACTCCTGTTGATGTCCAGGAGACAAAATTAATTCTGCAGGGGAAGGTTTGATGCAGCCCACTCTAGGTTATTATTTCATAGCTTCTCGGAGCAGGAAGTCTCTCAGGCTGCACAAATTGTACAGGCTGTTTCTCATTCAAAAGTCATTCTAATTATAGAGAATTAGGAAGAAGCTTTCATTGTGTGAAGGCTGTTTTGTAATGTCTTTTGTGCTTTCTTGTACAGCATCTGATCTCTGTTTGAGAAAGGAAATGCAGTTAGATGGCTGATTGATTCTCTTCAGGGAAAGGCTGCTTTTATTGCATCCTGTGCCTTTTATGAAGGACTCAAAAGAACGAGAGAAATGTTCTGGGATGTATCAGTTGATTCACTCCTTTCACCAGCTCTGGAGATGAAGTTTCCTAGAAATGCCCATGAGGAACCGTGGCTGAGACTTTATCCAGTAGCTGCTTTAGCTTCTATTTCCAGACCTCTTGATTTTAAATTAAAAGTCTCCCAAGAAGTGTTTGTCAATCATGCTGTTTATGCAGCAAGGTTATCTATCAAATTATGGGCTGAGACTAGCAAATCATTTTGCAGATTAAGGCCAGTTCTGCTCTCAGCTCTTACAGACAGAAAGACCAAAGCATCAATACTGAGCAACAAACAGTACAGGACATTGCAACTCTAAAACGTGAAGCTACAGCATGTGCTTACTACCACAGATTTAGAAAATAGCTCAGTCACCACTAAAGGCACCAAATTAAGGGTGTTACTGTGCTATTTTTAGAATATCACACTAAAGATAAGAAACTACCTCTTGCCTTTGCATCTGTTCTGCCATTTCTACCCCACAGCAGACTTGGCAGAAAGGATCATATGTTAGAACATCAGTAACATTGGCTGAAAATTCATCATTTTAGCTTAAAATACCAAGTAGTTTCAAAAACTGACGTCAAAGGGTGTAGCTACAGCACTTAAAGCAAGCCCACATTAACCCTGGTTTCCTAGTACAGGAAACAATAATAGTGAAAATCATAGAATCATGGGGTGGATTGAGTTGGAAGACACCTTAAAGGACATCTAGTTTCACCCCCCCTGCCATGGCCAGGGACACCTTCCACTAGACCAAGTTGCTCAGAGCCCCATCCAATCTGTCTTTGAACACTTCCAGGTATGGGGCAGTGTCTTTCAATTTAAAGCCATTGCCCCTTGTCCTGTGCCTACATCTCTTATAGAAAGTCCCTCTGCAGCTTTCTTGGAGTGGCATACACTGCAGCGCGGACTAACACTGAAAAATTTTGTACATTTGTTTATAGATGCTTAGGAGCAACTTTTAGCTGAGGACAGCTTTTAGTGTGGTCCAAACACATCAGAACTGTTTAAACATCACTAAAAATCTTCTTTGTCATTCTTACCTTGAGGAAAGTCAACAGCCTCCTGGGGCGTGCCAACCAGAGCATTGCCAGCAGGTCAAGAGTGGCAGTCCTGCTCCTCTGCTCAGCCCTGATGAGACATATCTGAGTGATGTGTCAGTGCTGGGCTCTCCAGTACAAGAAGGGGAAATGATGGAGATAGTCCAGCAAAATATTGTAGTCCCAGACTACAGAGACCAGCACATCAGGGAACCCCGATGTCCAGGACGGGTGGGTGTGCTGGTGGTTATGGGTGGATTTGTCACTTCTGGGGGCTTTAGAAAGGTATTTAGAAATTCTTGTTTGTTAATAATTTACAAGAGTCTAATATTGTGATTTACCTGTTGTACTGTACTGATATTGATCCCAAGTGCATAGTTCACTGATCACTTTAATTATGTGGTGTTTGTAAGTCAATAAAGCACTTCAATCTTGATTTGACCAGTTGTCCCCCAGGATAGGAGTTTTTCTGGCCAGCTCTGAGGTAGGATTGCCACATGGCAAATATGTTTAAACACAAAAAGGAGCAAAAATGAACAGAGAAACATCTAAAGTCTTTTCAAGGTAATGCCCATTTATTTTTGCTTTCAGACACAACAAAATATTCTCATCTTCTTGTAATTATTTTGATAGAGTGACATGCTCTTCTCATTTTCTGCAGTAATGTCCTCTCAAACCTCAACTGAGGTATACACACATAAATGCAGCTCTAGCAGAACATATTCTGTTGAGATACCTGCCATCTAAGCTAGAACAGCTGTTGCTGATGCTTTGCATACATACTCTTACCACATAGCCTCAATGTCGAAAGGGTAGAGCAGCACAGGTTGTAGCCATACCTATGAATGCAGACAAGGGGTCTCCAGGGCTCTGGGCTCTTGAAAGCATCATTCATCAAAAAGGAGGGCTGGAGTCAATACTACCTCTAGGACTGAGAAGCATTTTTCAGTTTTAGCTTCTTGTCAATTAGGGAGTGTTTTTTGAGAGTTTTAATAAGTTCTGTCATTATTACTGCTTTGCATTTTATTTAAACACAAATTCCAGAAAACATACATCTCCAGACAAAAGCAGAGCTGCCATGCACTCGCTTCTGTAAGAATTTGAGAAGGCACTTAAGTTTCATGTAAATAGTGAGCTTGACCTGATGAGCAGCCCTTAACTAAAGACATTCCTTCAGAAAATTTATTTTAATCAAAGGCTAAGCTGAAGAATTCAGTTACAATTAACTTTGTTGTTGGGTTTGATATATGAAATAGAATCTTTTCTGACAAAACTTTGACCCCCTGTATAGGATTGGTGCTTCTGCTGGAGGATGGCTTTAAACTTAAACAGGAGAAGTTTAGATTAGATATAAGGAAGAAGTTCTTCATAGTGAGGGTGGTGAGGCCCTGGGATTGGGTGCCCAAGGAAGTTGCGAATGCTCCAACCCTGGAGGTGTTCAAGGCCAGGCTGGACAGAGCCTTGGGTGACATAGTTTAGTGTGTGGTGTCCCTGCTCCAACCCTAACTATTCTATGATTCTATGATGGCACTGTCAACAGGAGGGAGAGCATAGCTCATTTCTATGGGCATGTTTGAAAAGCATAAGCATACACATGCCTCCTCACAGAAAAACAGCAAGGAAATTTTG